ATATAAGTTTTTACTTTTAAATTTTTGCTGGATGATAAAATTTTCTTTAAAAAATAAAGATGTAGTCATTTCCAAAAAATTCTTGGGTGATGATCATATTTCTTTTAAATGTTCCTTAGTGAAAACCTCAGATGACTGACCTTCCTTTTTAGGCTATGTGGCTGTCCTGGAAAAAGTTCCTTAAAACATAGAAACAACCAATTAAAAAGTAATAATTTTTTAAAAATTGGATTTGATGATCTTACGACATCTTGCTTTTTTCATCCTTCTCCGTTCGGGAGTTTTTTTATATCTACTGGAAATTTGCGCTGTTTAATGTAGATTATCCTCTTTCCTCCCTCTGGCGGCAAATTATTATTAAATTTTTTTAATAACTATGACTATGTCTTTATTTTTTAAAAATAATGATATAAGTTTATTTTTCAATATTTTCATACAACTTTAAAGCAGAAATAAATAATAAAAACAGTATTTATATATTAATTGGCAGATACTAAGCAAAACTTATAAAAAGTTAAAACTAAAAGAGGCTGTATAAAAATAAAACTTTAAAAAACTGAAATTTTATAAGTGAATTTTAAAAAGTACACGACACAATAAATTAGTAGTTAACACTTAATCATACAACCAGACAATTATACAATCCTGATTAATCATTCATTGTTAATCAGCTAACTTGATAATCGTCCCATCCTTATTTCAGATAAATAATTTAATTACATTGTATATAAGAAAAATTAATAATCAGCCAGACCAATTTAATTGCTATTTATATAAAAGTTTATATTATATTTTATAAAGTGTATTTGTTCTATATGTGAGTATTAAATTTTCTAAAATATTGTTCCATTTCATAACCAAATTCATCATTTACAGTTACTGTTAAATTTAAAGCATAGTCATCATGACAACACATCAACTTTCAACAGATGATTTAATTCTGTCAAAATTTACAATAAAAAGAATTCTTTATATTCATCCTTATCACAATTTCATACTATACCTTTCTCCAATTATTACATTCTTCTAATTAAAAATATAAATGATTACTTTGTTAAATAAATCATATATATATTTTAATTATAGATTTTTCAAATGATAATTTAATATTTAATGCTTATAAAAACTTTTTCTGAAATCATCTAAAATAATAACATTCTTGGCTATTATAGCTTTGTTGTATCTTTAAAACTAAGACTAACTTTGCTTCTAATTATTAAAAAAAATAATTTAAAACTATACACGGTCATTTTCATTAAATTAGCATTTCTTAATAATCATTGATATTTATTTGAAATTGAAAAACTTCATATTTGTTACTCAATTTTACCCAATAACAAGTTATTATTAAGTAAAATTTGTTATCAAATTCGTTTTTATATTGTATGATAAATATTTTTAAAAATTTAGACTATTTTAAAGAATAAAATCTTTTATATATAAATAATCACAATTTAAAGTTGAATATTTTAGAGAATAAATCAAAAATTATGTAACTATTTTAAAGTATAATATTGATCAAAAGATTATTGCTAAGCTTTTATTCATTGCAAGCTGTTGATAATCCTTCTTTTAGTGCAACAGGGCAATACTTTTTCTATTTTTATGTTTTGAAACATTAAATTCAAGTTTCAAATATCAATAAATTTTTAGTGTGTTTCAAGGTTGTGATTAGTCACTGGAAAATTTCCTTATAAATAAATACTTAAATCCTTGAAAAGCAAACTTACTATAATTATATTTTTAATTGAATTTAATTTGATTTTTATATACAATATGTTTTGTAGAGTTTTTATTTCAATTATTATTTTTTACATATTAATAGAAAACTATAGGTATGATGATCAAAATTAACAAATATTCTTCTTACATTAATAATTAATAATACCAATGCTTTTAAATTGTAAGAATATATGATTAAAGATTCCTAAATCAAAAAACTAAATTTAATATGAATATAACAGAATATTACAATAATAATAAACATTAAAAATATTATGTTCTGTGATATTTTCATTACTTTCTAGTAATAATTTTGTTGAAATGAATTTAAAAAATATTTCTTGATTCACTAAAAAACAACAAATCACCAATTGTACCAATTACTAAGCACATTTTAATAATGTGCATAATGGTTTTTGAAATGGTTAAATTTTGTTTATCATATGATAAAGTTATAGCATTTTTTAAAATTTTATACTTAATAATTATTTATTAAATTCAGATAAATTATTCTCAAATATATTTTATATTAATAAATTACTGGATAATTTATTCATTAAAATTCATAATATTTAACCAACAACTTAAGACAATATTGAAGAAAAATTTATTAATTGAAAATTCAAGGTATTTTCAATAACTTTATTAATTATAATTATTATAAACTTATGTATGTAGTAAACAATTGTAATTCATAAAATATTAAATTAGTGATAGATTTAGTAAAATAATTATAAATTTCTTTTTAATAATAATAATAGCTTTAATCCATATTTAATAAACAAAAAATGATTTTAAGATTAATATTTTATACCTTTACTTTTTCCAATAAAAAAATTGTTTTTATTTCATTTTTATTAAAAATGAAACTATCACATTTTATTATATGATTTTATGAATTGGTTTTAGAGTTCTGAATTACATTAAGACAAAAATGTTATTTAATTTTGTATTTATTATCCATATTGATGTAAATGAATGTTTCAGTAACAGATTTTAAATTGTGTACACTTACACATAACATTATTATAATATACAGTACATTATAAATTTATTAAGAGCTGGAGATATGTCAATTAAAAAGAATTTTTACAAACACGAGTTATGCCAATTTTGTAAGTACATACAAATTTTTATACCACTTACATGCAATCATAGACTGAGAATTAGAAAATCTACATTAATCAAATTTCTCTTAAACCACAAGTTATAATACACAACATATTAATTAAAATCTATTATAATTTTATATTTTACTATGTCATCACTTTAAAACAGTTTTAATTCAAATTAAGTTTTGTAAGAATTTTTTAAAACTATTATAGTATTTAGAATGAATTAAGATTAATAAAACTTAATTTCATGGCTTTTTTAATATTTATACAAAAACAGATATTGACTATCCCACTATTCTATACTAGAAAAAAAAATTGAAATACTTCCTTAGAAATATACTTTGAGCATTATTTTCAATTTATGCTAACTAACATTTAAAATCAAATTATACAATATTTTAAGATGAAGCTGCCAGAAAAGACTAGTTTGTTTTTATAGTATACAGACTTTACTACTGTTTGTAATTTAGTTGGCAATATGTCAACAATTCCCTCCTCATGTTTATGTTTATATTTTTGTTACTGTAAATTAAACAAACTAAAAACAAAAATATATATATAAAAAGTAGAACCATATGACAGTTAATGTTAATTTATAATTCCAGTTCCAATGGAATTTTCAACGAAATTTAATTTTCAACTAAATTTAGTAATTAAAACAAAATGTATTAAATTAAATTTACAACATATATTTATTTCTAAATATGTCCTGCAGTTTTTTTGGGGGGTATGATTTATATGACAACAAACAAACAAAATTTGCTCTAATTTTACATTACATTAAGTTAGATTATATCAACTTTACAAATCATAAGATTAACAAATTAATTTTCATCAATAAATATATTTAGAATTTCAATCAAGAATTACTAAATATCTGAAATTTCTAGAGTTCCATCCATTAACCTATCTAAAAATATTGCATGTAAGTGGACAAAAGACATAAAATTGATTTTGTTTTATGAGTTATTTTCAAGGGGAAAGAAGAATCTAATATGAAAATTATTTTGAAGTGGTTTTCTGCAAACATTTCAAATAAGACATTTCCTACAAAATAAATTTTCATACTTTATCAAAGTAAAATACTATCAAATGAAATCTTCTGTAATTAATTTAATATTTAACATTAATAATTATTAATTTTAAATATTTAGGAATAAAATAGTTTTGAAATTATACTATTCTATGAATCAGACAGCATTAATGAACTCAATATAAGGTCAGGAAAATTTTTTATTAATGAAAACATTTTATATCCTTTTCATAAATCTTTACACTTCATTTCCTATGAACAATCATAACTGACAAAACAAAACTATTTTGAATTAAGACCAAAAAGTAACATTTCGAAAGTATATTTTCAAATTTTGTAATGACAAAATGCATTTTATTTATGACAAAAATATAATCTAATTCGCCATACATTCTAAAATACAAAATAATCTCAAAAATTTAATTTAACTTAAGAATAAATGTTATTCTGTAAGGAACTTATTAAGTCATTTCATATTTAATCAATAAAAATAAATTGCTTCATCCAAATATTTTATAACCAAAATTAAATATTCTACAAAAACATCCATCAAATGTTACAAAATTCATAGATTTGAATTTAAATATCGAGCACTGGACCATAAAATATTTGTTATTAACTTTTACTACTAAATTTAATGATGGAAAGCATCTTAAGTAAACAGATAATAAAAATGTTTATATATATAAGGTATATTAAGCATTTTCTTAAAATAATTAAGTAATTTAAATGATAGCAAAACTCATTACATATGTGAACATTGTACATGTAAGTTAAAGATTCTTTGGTAAACAAACAGGTATATGTAACATACAGAAGTGTATTATAGGACAAAAACAAGTATACAAAACCAGATTTTACACCCATTATTTAAAAATTTCAAATAAACAACTTGACAATTTTGTATTAATACATTAACAGATGTGTACTGTTTGTTCTATAATATTATATTTAAATATTAATTCTGATAGATATTTATGTATAATGTAAACAGATATGTAGGCTTATGAAGGAATGATATTTTGTTTTATGAACCTTTACATAGACAAAATTTGTATAGCTTTGTAATCAGGAGATATTATATAAGTATAGAATTATATAGTTAATTAATTTGTAAACATTAAACTTACCCAGAAATAAAAATTCTCAACTGTCTCTCAAATTCTGATTTATGCAGATCCTTCAATATAGCTCAGGCGCTATAGGGCATTATTATTGTTTCATTAACGTCTTTTATACTCAAAACGTTCATCCATTGTATAATATTTAACGAGTTTATTACTTAGAAAAACAATAACATTCAAAATAATACAAGCGTCGGAAAGAAGAAAACATCTAAACACCTCACTTCGTCATCACTTCTCTGCAGACATTTCGACTCTCTTACTGACGTCACTTGTGACGATTCAACGCTCCCCGAATGTATGCATGAAATTTTTTATTATTATTATTTTTTAAAATATACTTAAAATTTCATAATAGAATGTTTTATCACTATATTTTTCAACTAATAAAAACTTGTGCTATTAATTACTATTTTTGAGAAAAATTACGCGTGACTAAGAATTTTGTAAATAGAATGAATGCGAATTTTGTAGTATGTAGGGCGTATCGTCGCTTGTTACTTTGAACGCCAATGACCTATTAATGAAATATTTCTTAATATAATATTTGCGTGTACTTTAATAAAGATTAATTCATTAAGTTTTTAATTTGATTATAAGTCATAATTTATATAATTTGAATAGCGGCCTTATTTAAAACGAAATATAATTTTAAATTTGATTCTTTAACTAATGTAATTTTTAATGCCATTTCCGGTGCTATAAAAAATGCGCCACTATGTGGCTATTTTCACAATTGTTTTCAACTAATTTGATTTGATTACAGTAATTCCTCACAGAAACATTATAATAGATTTGCCTAACATTAAATAGATATATGAGAATATTAAATATTTTAATAAACGTTAATAGTTGTTTTCTCGAAAATGTATATTAATCAACGAGCAAAAATATACTGTACTACATAAAGTGGCTGTGACTACGGTTACAGCGCTCTTGGTGGCAACGATGGATACTATCGACCGCCATTTTACTTTAAGTCAAAACATTAAAGTTTATTCACGTGTTGGGCAGGATTGCCATTGTAGAATATATTTTTCTCATCTAAATCTAGATTGCTTTGTTTGCCCTTAGATTTGAGAATTAGACAATTGGATAAGTGATATAAATCTAGATTGTATAATCTCGAATTTACCTATTTTTAGATTTTATTTAATTGTTATAAAGAAGGTAATATCAGAGTTTAAAGTGGTAAGTACTTAACCCCCTCAATATAACGATATAGACGGCCGGATGGCCTACCGCTTTGGGGACTCGGAATCGAATCCGGACGGGTCGAAAAATTCCTAGGAATTTTTCGGGTGGGATAGGGTTCGTCCAGATAAAGTCGGGCCCGACTCTCACCACTCTGCCGCACCATTGTGGGCCTGGCCGAATCCACAATGGGCTTGCTAAAAGAGGCTTTCTTAGCACCCACAGGGAGGAAAGAGTTGACCCCAGTGCTGCAAATTACCGGAGAACACAGGAAGACCACACATGACTTCGTAAAGAACACACCTGCTAATAAGAATACATGAAATATGGAAATCAGATCACAAAGTGCCGCATAGCAGAAGAAGAAAGAAACATTTTGACCTACAGTAGTGTTATAGAGTTTATATGTTACTGTAGGTCTATAATCATACAATTTAGCATAATCGCTGTAGAAGAAATTGTCGTGAACTTTGATGTTAAAAACAATAATGTAACGAAACGATGACGCCATCTATGTTTATATCAAGATACTGTATATTTTAAATTATTATCATGGCCGTGTACTAAAATTGTTATAAAAAGTTTTAATTGGCATAAATTTGAGCTTTTGTAATTTTGAGTAACATTTTGAATAAAATTCATTTGTTTCCATCCAGTTTTCTTCTTATAAACATAAAATTAAGCCGTAAAGCTGAATTAGCTCTATGGGAAACTCCCATGAACTAGGGCTTCTTAGTGCTCTCAGAGCGGTAACAGGCTCGCTCCACAGTACTGTAATCATCTGACGAAAAAAACCCGTGAACTTCATCTATCGACCGGGAAGTTTGTCCAGTATCTCACTGGTAACGAGAAAGGCTAAAGTTTAAAATTTGAGCTTTCTAGACCCAGTAGTTTTTTCTCTACGAGCGTCTGCAGTGCTGGATGAAGAAAAATGAAAAGAAAATGCAGCTTTTTTGGAATATTTGCACTTTTCAATTGTTTTTATTTCGTCAACCGCTTTATACAAAATCTTGAAATTTTGCATACTATCTAAGAAAACAATTTTCTTTCGAACGACACGAGATACTCGAAATTACTATAGATGTTTGAGCGGCGGAGAAATCGACCCCCGATAATCGATAGCTCTGATTCCTGTATATGTAGTCAGTCAATGGCTTTTTTACTTCCCGGGAAGTCACTACCCTCACTCCTGATATAAGACACTAGATTGTTGGATCAAATTTCATGTTACAGAACGTCCTCAATATACGTCATACTTAAGTTCCTAAAATTTGTCGTGAACGAAATGGTGTACTGTACCTTTTACTTATAAAACAGTTCTATAAAATCCTTGATCTAAAACATACATTGGACAATAATTATCAAATTGGTATACAATTGATTATTCCTTCTACTCATAAATCTGTTTACAAAATCCTTATTTCCTTTAATACGCGTTGACAATATAATACAAATTTACATAACTTCTACAATATAAATTTACATATCTGACATCTACTATATTTTTTTACAATGTATGATTGTTGATTTATTTAACATTTCAATATTTAATATTATAGATTATTATTTGAACTAATGATATTACAATGTCTTGAAGTTGGTAAACATTATTAACATTTAATGTAGATTTACATATTATTTGACTCCCATTACAACATTACAGTTTTTTGTTATTGTTGATTTATTTAACAGTTCAATAATTATTAATTAGCACATTGATCACAATAATAATAATTTGAATCCAGTGAATATAATCAATATAAAATTTTTAACCAGTTTTNGCGTATTAAAGGAAATAAGGATTTTGTAAACAGATTTATGAGTAGAAGGAATAATCAATTGTATACCAATTTGATAATTATTGTCCAATGTATGTTTTAGATCAAGGATTTTATAGAACTGTTTTATAAGTAAAAGGTACAATCAATTGTGTACAACTTTAATAACAGCCGTACTCAAGGTATGCCTTAATAGAAGATAGTTTTATAGATTCTGTAAAACTGATGTATAGTTTGTATATATGTCGTATACTCCCCTAATATTATAGTTGGCTAAAAGGAAAAAATATTGTGAACAAGCTGATGTTACTGGAAAATATCGGGAGTAGCTGTTACTTCAATTTTTAAAAAAACTTGTATGCATAGGTATGTTTATATTTTTATGAATTTTACAAAACTTGTGTATTTTTTTATATGTATGTTATATCCTCTTTTAATGTTTTAGTTGGCTGAAGAGGGGCTTAAAAGCCCGAAACGTGTAAAATTTTTTCACACGTATCAACTAAATAAAGATGAGACAACCCGCCAAGTGTCTTAATTTATAGCACTTTATTGTGTTAGAAGCATAAATAAATTCAACTAAATAAAGATGAGACAACCCGCCAAGTGTCTTAATTTATAGCACTTTATTGTGTTAGAAGCATAAACGAATTGCAAAGCACGGTTTCATATCATCAAAATAACTTTTATGAAGTTTTGCTATGAATGCTTTTATATTTTGACTAGCTGTTACCCGCGACTTCGCCCGCGGAGGTTTTGAAAGCAAACCCCATTTATATTCAGTATTTCAACAGCGATAGTAATTGTTATATAAAACCTACCGCTGAGAATGATGAGAATTGCTCAAAATCAAACGAACTATTTTCAATTTGATCAATTTTCTGGAACGTTTACAATCATTCTATAATCGAACCAATGTGCAAATTCGAATTTAAATCGGTTCGAACATTTGGTTAAAAAATCGAAATATGTAGCAGCTGGAAGGGAGGCCAAAGGGTTTGGCTCATGCGTAAAGGCAAAAGGAAAGGAAAGTTTTTGCCTAAATATATGGGACCGTACAGAATAACTCGGATTCTAGGGCCAGTTAGGGTGGAGCTAGGGGGCAATTGTAAGAAAGACAGGTATATGTGCACACAGATCGCATAAAAAACTGCTACTCCCCAATGTATAAAGAACCAAAAAGGAACAGTCGTCGCCTCCGAAAAATGGCAAGCATAGATGGAGAAGGGAACGACGAAGAGGACGAAGAAGCGGACGAACAAATAGCGACATGGATCCGCTCAAGAGAAGCAGCACATCGTGAGCATCCACCTCAAGCAAGAAGAGATAGTATAGAACAAGTAGGCGATAAGACTGCGGGCGAAAATGACGTGAGACCCCAGCCTCGTTATAACCTGCGAGGGGGGAGGATTGATTATCATAAGTTGCAACATGGTGCTTGATTCTAAAGGGGGGCATATGTGGCGGTACGCCATGTTTTTGTAAATAGGGGTAGATATAAGTTTTATTTCTCCTAAATTCCTTTGTCTTTAATGTCTGTTTCTAGAACTTTCTAACCTATTTTTTTTCTGTGGGTGGGGGACAACCTTTGTTCAAGGACAAAGGGAGAAGACAAAGGGGACATTAAGAACCCCTGAGGCCATCAGGAAAACGAACAAGACACTTTTGGGATCAGCGTCCGAGGTGTGCAGACGTAGGAAAGAGCAAGCTAGAGGTTTGTCGCCTAGTGGGACAAAAAGAGAAGGCTTGGAAGTGGTCTGCGAACGGACGAAAATTAGAAGGACACCCAGATTAAGACTTCAAAAACGCCCTCGAATTCTCAAGAGACGGAAACGAGAGGAAGGAAATTGATTCAAGTACCGATATAGAGAAGATCGGAGACTGCCAAATTTACCCAAGTACCCCCATAAAATCTGTCCTTTATACTTGTCTCTTCTCTTCATATCTCTTAATTTCTTCACCCTTCTTCCTTAGCATATAAGTTAGATTAAGGTAGATTTAAGTTAGTTGTAGTATCTCAAACCATAATTTTTTATTGTCACGAGCACGTGTCTTCTGCTTGTGAAAACATAGAATTTTGTCGGACGGATTCGAACTTGTGCGCGTACTATAGTTTGGGATCAAGTGTGTTCAGTGTAAACGAACCAGGTGTACGAAGGACCACGTAACTGTAGTTAAATAAAAATCCTGTTTAATTTATAGTTACTTCTTTGTCATCCTTTTTTTTGTCCACACCACCACAGCGTCGCCGTCGCGGACGAACGGGCAGAACGCGACCAACTAGAAAATGTCAGCTCGGACGAGCTGTCACTTTCAACATCCTCCACAGCAAGGTCTGTGGCCGGATGACCCCGAAGACCTTGGCCAACTGCACTGGACCCAGGGTGTAGCGTCTCATTATCCCGACTCCGGGAGGATGCCACGCCACGCGCACTTGGGAAGGTCTTCTTCACCCGCTGTCTCTCGTTCGTCGAGCCCCCGCTCCTCCAACGGTACGGAACGACAGACTCGTTCCGCGTCGTCCGAACCCCCTCCCTCCGGCGCCACCGTCCGCCTCCGCCGGAACCACCTCCAAAGTCGCACCAACGTCTTCATTCTGTAAAAAAAGAAAATTTGCAATTAGTCCAGTGAAAACAAAAGCTTAAATTAATGCTTAAATTCTTCCGAGTAAAAGCAAAATGCTCACAGCAGCTGCCTTTTTAAATCTAAAAGATTCGAATCCGAAGCGCAAACAATCGACCATCGAAAGATGTGCCGAGATGTCTTTTGGGACCGATTCTCCAAGTAATATTAAATAAATTCTTACGTCTAGAGCCAATATGGATTAAGACTTACCTGAAAAATCTTCATTCTTCTCTGCAAAAGTCCTCAAACCGCAAAAAACAGCATGCAATCGAAGAGCACAACAAAAGCACGTACGACCAGAACCAGAAACACAATCGTACTGCGATTCGTCATGTGTGACGTATTTCGAACAAACGTTAAAAAACGCGTCAACAATGTTCGAATTTCGTAAAAATTAAAATTAAAAAATCAATTAAAAAATTTTTTAATTAATTTATTTATAATTTTTTTTCTTTTTTAAATTTTGCTTCAATCATTTGATAAATAATCTTCTGCGTTAACATGGTGCAGAATGTCCACCGTGGAGAGGTAAAAGACGATCTTTTTAAATTCTACGTCTTGAGACTTCACCATTTCCGAAAATCGCCCGAAATTCGTTCGAATAAATATCATTTTCGTCCATGGCATGAAATAAATCAAATTCTTAAGATTTCGCCCAATATTATTTCGCTTTTCGGAAAGATTCTTCGGTCGCCGTCGGGGTTGCGGGTTTCGCGCATTAATGCAACATCAAACTGGATAAAGTTAATATTTAAAAATCCCGAAAAACCTTTATAATACAGCCGAACGAAAATTAAGTCAACTTGGCATTTTGACGATGTCACAATAAATAATTGCTTGTAGTTATAGTTCGTAAAAAATTGAGAGAATATTTACAATGATAAAGCACATTTTGACTTTTGTCATGTTATGAACCACAATATTGAAGTTAAAATCCTTCTAATAGATATTACGGAGCTAATAATTGTGGGAAATGGAAAAAGCGTTGCATTTTCCCATCAAAAATAGACAAAGAAAACATGCCACTGATGCCAGTAAGTGCAAGAGACTGATATGTAGAAACTACACCATTAGGATGTGTACAAATTGTGCACTATATCCATCATTCTGGATAAGAAAAGTATATTAACATTACCATATTTTAAACGTAGAAGCTGTGAAAAATATTCAGCAACGAGTTAACTTTTCCGGCTGTTGTGAGATTTTATTTAAAAAAAATAACTTTTATATTATTAATTATTATCGAATGGCAAAAAGCTTAATTTTGAGGGTAGTAATGAACTTTATTAAAAAATTGTAAATGTTAGTAACGAATAACAACTTCAAGACTATTAAATAGTAAAACATTAAAGAATACAAAAAAATCTATTAAATACAGAGCCACTTGAAAAAATAGTCACGTCCCAGAGAGATTTTGGTATATCCAGATAACTTTTAAAGTTTCATAAACTTGTTTTTGGTGTGTTCTTGGTACTAGTAGCTAATCTTTTTTAGTGGACGTAGGATCCGAAGCTTGAACAGTTTCAGGTGTTATGTATTGGAGTACCTTTACTTCTGCATCAACACGTTATTGCACATGCAAGCATGACGAAAAAGTGAAATCAACGTTTTTGAAGTGTAGATCAAGAAATACACCAATTTCATCGCGTTCAATAAAATCCCAAAAAGAGTGCATGTTTGCTAATTATTGCGACAATGATACTTTTACAGCTCATAATCCTACATGTTTAGTAAGGACTATAACTTAAAATGCTTTTTGGTCAGAATAATATTTCTTTTTTTATTCTTCGTAATTTGCATTAAAAGCAGCACAAAATTTGCTAACTAAAAATTAATTAATATACTGTATAATTATTTCTACATATATTCTGAATAAGATTCCAAAATTAATCGATTAAGAAGTCAGTAATAGATTGTTTAACAATCGCCAAAGCTAAATAATGGATCACATCCGATTGATCGCCTAGCATTATTGATCATTACCATTTTTATCTGTATCAGACGAAGTGTGAGTCTCTAGAATTTCTTTTGATGTAAAATTGTTTTTGGTCGGATCTATCATAAGTTTATTATAAGTACAGTGCATATTCCTTTTCCTTACGTGCATTTGTGTATGTATTTTTATACGAGTGTATTAATTTTATTTAATACTGTATATCATTTTCTTTTGCAAAGCGAGGAATCTCAGCTAGTTCCTATATAAATTCTAGTTTTCTCATCAAACAACTTCTGAAAAAAAAATTTCACTCTAAAAAGTAATTTTTTACATTAACATATTTTCTCTATAGTTCTGTTTTCATACTATTTTTCAATAAATTTTATACGGGATTAATTAATTAAGTATTTATGATTAAACTTAGTTTTAAATTAATAATAATTCAAATATTATTAGACTGTCATTTAGTTTTTAAAAAAAATTTTCCATCCTTTGGGCACTAAGATGGCCGTTTTTAGCAAGCTCATTATGGGTTCAACCAAACCCAAAATGGGATGTCTGAACAATGAGAAAAGAAGCCCAACATATTTGGATGGACTATCACGAGAAACCTGAAGATTTTTCGACCCGTCCCGGGTCCCAAGAGCGGTAGACCGCTATCCTGACGAACTGTCATTTACTATTAAATAATTTTAACCCGAATTACTGTTTTAATTATAATTTTATTTTTAAAAATAAAGTTAATTGTAGTATTTTAAAACAATATTCTTATTAGATTTTTCCAATAATCAACGTTAAGCACTGATTCAAAAGTAAACATGTATCGCAGAGCAATCTGATTCATACGGAGCGAATTCGATGAAATTCAATAAGCTATTCAATACGCAACTCATTTTCTTTCTTTCACAAGTAAAGAAAGTAGATAGATAATGGAACTATAATTCGTAATTAAAGTGTCATTATTGCCTTGGCCAGAAGAACAAGGAATCACCTGAAAGAATTTGTTTGCCATGAGTAAGAATTATTACACAATCGAAAGTGTTGTTGCCTTATTTACAATTTAAAATGTGTTTCGTCCCTTAGTGTTAATTAAATGACCCTCATAAGTTAGTTGATAAAAATGTGTTTTATATATTTATACCCTGCGTGGTTGTTTATAATAAGCAAGTTTTGAAACTTGCACTTACTGTATGGTGTTAGACAGGGCGGTGATCTCACCAGACACACCAAGCTATTTGCATTTGTAAGTTCGCAGACCTAGTGGATATTGGGGAGTTAAAATTTCATTTCTCGCACCAGTGTAAGTTTGCCGACTTTTAGGGGAGGATCGTTAATCCCCCGTCAGGATGATCTAGGGATGTTCGTGTGTGGGTGTGGAGAAGGAGACAGAAATGACAAGTATCTTAGAAAAACCCGTTTATTTTAGCATAAAAATAAACTTACACTAAGAAACAAATATTTTCTAAACACAATTGGCTAGTTGGAAGTCGATAGCGTCGATGCTCTTTTAGTTGTTTGTTGTATAGGTGGCCACGGGGCAGTGTTGTTAAACAATTCGTGAGGCTACGTTGATCGGCGTCGGCACGGTATCAGCACGAAGACGGAAAGATTCGTCCCCAATGTGTTGACACAGCGCTTCCGATTTTCACTCGTTTGTGTTGACTCGCGGAGTCTGTCCAGTCCTTCACAATCGGATATTACATTAATCTCCGTTCTCCCCTTTTTGTCCATCCTGATTGGTTCCACATTTGTCCCTAAGCGAAAGACGAGACTTGTTCGGGTCCCGAGAAGGTTCGCTTCGGGGAATTTACTTGACACCATCCGCTAACTCTGGATGGAAGGTGTAGATTGGACTTTGAACTTGCACTCATTTTATCCCCATTGTCTAGTCTATGACGTCATAGAATTTTAACGACCTGACGCGATGTCCCCTTTTATAATTAACCTTTCCCCTCTTCAAGATTTTCTATGTTCTAATTATGCCTTCTATGAGCTATTGTTCTATGAGCGCCTTGTCAAAGGTCCATCTCTACTGGAGGACGCTCGTTTACATTTATTGCGTCATGTTTTACAATAGTATTTTTTTTTCTCGTCTCGGTTTCATGTGACTAGCACAACTGAATCCCATCTTTGATCGGTTTTAATTAAACAATGGAGGTTTTTTCCTTTCTAGTTTTGTTTTAATAAATTTCTAATATAAATGTTTAATTTCAACCAATTTTTTGTGGGGCCTCACACATTCTCTAAGACACAAACCTGGGCAATACTCTGAGACCTATCGTTATCGTAAGTTCTTTTAAACAGCCAATATTCGAAGCCGTTAACGTTTACTAAAATTAGGCAACAAACGATTTTCGCATATTAAATATGTTTAATTTGATATTGCAGTCAACAGAATATGCAATTATCGTTTCAAATTTTTAATACAAAACATTCAAGAACAGTTTTATAAAGTATGCATATACAATATTTTCATTTCAATATAAACTGGGCCAGGTTGATTGATTAAATGTTAACTAACTAGGTATTTTCTGGATAAACGAAACTGAGCTCAGCACCGTACATTTTACTTATTCGGCCTGATACTAAAACACAAATAAACTGTTCTCGTTGTAGCTAGAGTGACTAATAAACTAGTCTGTAACCAAACTTACAGACTAATTTATTACGCCATTTGTTTTTTTTCCGTTATAAAATCGTTTTTTGACAGATGAGTATGTCTGTGATACACAAAAGATTTTCTAAAGAACGCTTGCTGAGGTAAATAACCTAAGGCATCCAATTGCCAGAGTTGTGATAGAAATTTCTCAGCAACATCTGAATTAGCTGTTGCAACTTTACTTGTTATCTTAAGAGCAACAAGGCTTCAAATGCTTTAAGGTTATGAAACCCAGGGTTTCAGCCTTCCATTCTGGGAGATCCTGATTCGAGTATGGGATAGTTCTTCAGATTTTCATGGATTATAACCACTATACGGATATATCAAACGTCGGTCCTTCGCCATTTGACCGGTCCTTAGTGGGTACCGAATCCTTGATGAGCACAAAACCTTCAATGTAAAACGTCAGCAGCTCTTAATGACGACAAGGATAAACGCTCCATCAATATTTACTTTCACCAAATTTCGAAATAAATGTTCCATTTAATCTTTACATCGGTAGAAGTAATTTATCAAAATAAAAATTCTGACACGTGATCAGAGCAAGAATTATCTTTTAATAAAGAATAATCTCCTTGCTTCTGCATGTTGCAAACCTGATAGATGTACAATTTGTAATTATTGCGCAAAATAATTCAACAAAAATGAATATTTTAAACTTGTATTTGATTCCTGCGCGTTATCTTTCAAAATCTGATAGCACATATCATAGAATTACTGTCGCTTGCCGGCGAAACAAGACTTTAACACCATTTAGTATGATATATTTCGTTTAAAAATTTTCTAATATATTTCATATTAACTCCTATTTTTAATCTTGCAAATCGTGTTAAATTTTATGAATTTTTGCAATCAGGAAACTACAATACGTATCAATACTTAAATAATTTATTGCAAAATATTTACGAAGTTCGTTTCCTTATCGTATTTTAAAATCAAAGTCATTAAGATTTTAAAATATAATTATAAAATTTAATATTTGTTTTCTATATCTCCCATGTCCTTCGATAAGAGGAAAATGTGCAGATAAGTTAAAAAGGCCGTTGTACTTTATACTTTCAGACATTTCAAAGGTTAAAACGCACTCAGCAATCTTTTGGAGTGAATGGATCTTGGCTAATGGACATTCTGTTGCATGGGCAGAAATTTGCCAGATCAAATCAATTAAGTTTGGCAAAGTAAGTAAACGTTTTCTTGTCTTTAATTAATAAGCATATCCGAATGTAATTAATCATAAAAAAACGCTACCTTAATTCCATTATGATCGTCGGACCGTGAATATTAATTAGCTGAAGGTTACATTTTAGTTGAATGAAAACTTAAAAACTTTTTTTTTCGGTTTCGCATCTAGTTATGCTCTAATTATGAAAGTTAAATATAATAAAAGTGATTCATTTTATATATTTTCCTTTTCGTAATGTATCTTCCGGGTTAAAGAACTAAAGTTTACAGTTTCGTTTTCGTTCTCTACCGAGTAGAGGTTAAGTTTATTATTATACACAACTAATGTATTATTCAAATCACGATTTTCTTTCAATAATAAACTTATAGAACAACTTATTTTATATAGATATGAAAGTTATATATCGTAGCGTGAGCAAGATCCGACGCCAAGGATCATTCCTTTCTTGGATCACTTCCAGTTCCATCCATGCGGTTGCAACTTTCACTAAATTTGCCAAATCTACAGGAATCACGTCTCTTCTGAAAATAATTATATCTCTTACATTGATCTCAGTTATCTTTCCCATACTTGCCACGTCGTTTCTTCTCTTTACAACGTATAAATATACAGTTCAGGAACTCTTAAGTTGGTTATATCCTGAAGATGAATTAAAAATTATATGGAGTGTACCTCTAAGAAGTGTTTTTGATTGGCAGAATGATAAGGGCTTTGCTACTTTTCTGGCTATTGTTGATGGTTCTCTCGACGTGAAAAAAATAAAGAGATTAACTGTGGAAATGATTGATAATTTGAATCATTTTTCGAATATTAAAAGAGCTATTGGCACTAAATTTGGGTGTTACGTATGGAAAAAGTTGGATAATGAATTTAACATTGATAATCAAATACTTTTATCAACTGGGAAGTGGAAAGGCAAGTCACTAAATGAAGATCTCTTACATAATTACCTCAATGAGTTATATATGTATGGACTACCAACAAAAAATCCTCCGTGGCAAATTATTATAGTTCCTCTATCTGAAAATGCATCGTATGCCATTATAATACGCCATCATTTTATATTATCAACTTATTTCAATGAATTTATTAAGCAATTATTTTGTAAAGAACAAATTAATTTGCAAACTATTCACCCCACATCATCTACCATTTTCACTACACAAATTGCTTTGACATTTTTGACACTGTTGGACTTGGTTCATCACTTCACAGAAGTACCTATTTATTTCTTAAAAGAAATAATGACTTCTAAAATTCAGTATCATAAACAAAGAATATCTGGCAAGAAATCCATCTCATGGACAGAGAATCTGAACTTGGAATTTGTTAACAAAATAGCAGAACAATCTCTAGTCAAACCTAAAGATGTTTTATTGTTCGGTATTGCTGGTGCTCTGAGGAGATATTACAGTGTGATGGAAGGTTATATCCCAGATTATCTATTCAGTATGGTGATGCACGAATCAGATATGAATAAGTTTGATGTATGTGAATTCTCACCTGTAATGCTTCCGCTTGCAACTCTTGATATAAAATGTCGTCTCTTAAAATTAATTACACAATCAAAGTCATTAAAGAACACACAGTTAACTTCAAGAATAACAAGTGTGCTTTTGAATTATGTGAACAGGTTACTACCTCAATTCTTGGTGGACAGTTTTGTAGAATCTGTTACAAAGAAATATTCTTTGATAGTAAATGATATGCATGTATTGTCTTGTGTCAAGACATTATGGAATGATGATGTTAGAATGATTCATTATTGGAAGATGCCTATCAAGCATATTGGTAAGATATATATCTATCTGATAATATAAGTAAGTTAATTTTAAATAATTAATTGTTTAAGGTAATTATTATAAAATCAGTGAATTTCTACTTCAGGTGATATCTGTTATACCAAAAAATTCCAGTGGTTTTGCCAAATTTTATGTATACTCAATAGAAATACTGTATAGCTTATACACACTTCAGTCAGTCTGTTACATGCTTGGGCTATAAGCTTAAACTAGAATTTTGAACTAAAAATCCTAAGCTTGACTTATCCCAAATGCTGTAAATATTGTTATATATCTGAATTGTAGAACTGCTGATTTATATTTTTATAATATTTTAATCTTCCAGACTGTTAGATCACAATTTTGTCATGAAAAACATTTTATAAAAATGATTGATTTTATATATACAATAATATTTCGGCGACGTATATATAAATCCATTATAAATAACGCTAGGAAGAGATTGATAAATTCATTCTATCAAATTTGTAAACCAAGCTTTTCAACTATCAAATTAATTTGAAATCAAGCTTTTTCAAAATAATTTATTTAAAAAATTGACAGAAAATGATAGATGATCTGCTTGTAAGCAATTTAGAAATTTCAATTCATCACTTATCAAAATGTTTCCAACTCAGAACAATAATCATATTTCAGGAAAGTAATGTGAAATTTTTTTAATAATAATGAATTTATCAATTAGCCTTTAATCTCTTTTTATATATAGTACAATATACTTTCAAGAAATATTGATATATATTACATAATATACATAATTTTATTGAAGGATTATCACATAATTGAAAATATTATTGCCTTATATATATTTTCTAAAATGCATTTCGACCCCTGGTGTTAAATGGCCCTCATCAGTAACTGATCCTATGTAAATAATATATGATTAACTAACAATAACAAATACATTTAACACCAGGGGCCGAAATGCTTTATTTTGAAATGGTTTCAATATAATTCTATCGAATAACCCTTCGAAAGAATTATGTACTACAAATATAAATATACAAATATACAGAAAGTATATTGTATTAATATAATAGTGAATATAAATTGGCAACAACCTTGCCATTCAATAAATTTAAGATCATTATTTAATGAAAAACATTCTTTTTGGCTTCTTAAATGTTTACCAGTTTTGTTTTATAGTATGTTTTTTTTGTGAATTTAATAAAAAATGAGTGATGATGGTGATTAACTAACAGAAATTTTATTAACTTGTATTAATGATGTATCTCTTGAAACATATCCCTATCATTAAGCAGCATATATCTGAATATTAATAAATTTGCAAAGGAGCACTGTATTTTAACTACACATTAAAAATTTAAGTTATAAACATTCAAACCCAATACTTATATATTAAAGCCAAATGATTGCCAAATTATATAATTTAGCAATCATTTGGCTTTGGGTTTGGATGTTTATATTTAAGTTAAATTTGTTTTCAAACAAGTATTAAATATGAAGAACTTAAAAAAAATCACAGTTTTTAGAACTTTCTTTTATAGTTAAGATATTTTATTATTCATTCTTTCTTTTATAGTTAAGATATTTTATTATTCAACAGACTGATTCTCATATTTTTAAAATTGTGTTCATTTATGATAATTTGGCACTAAATTTTCTGCAGTAATAAAAATAAACAAGCTTGCAAATGGCTTAAATATATTTATAAAATTATTATGTTATTAATTTATTTATTATTAATTAAAGTATGGCATCAGCATCTTTTTATCTCCTTGCTTACTCAATCTTACTCTTAATAATTTGATTAACTGGCCAGTTTTTTGCTCACATGCAATAAAATATTTTGTGTGTGTCAATTAATGTCAGTGCAACTTTTAAAAAATAATTTTATAATTCAAACATCTTAAGATTAATTCATATTTAATACTAAAAACAAAATTTAAAAAGTTTGTTAATTTTTTAATATTTATAATATGCTGAATGATCAAAGAAGTTTACTTGCAAATAGACTTGGCAATACTGCAAGCAAGACATTTTGTTACTGTAAACCACAAACCTCTTTCTAAGAGAACATTAACCTCCTCTTTATCAACAATGAGACACTTAAACTTGCTTCTGTTAATAGCAAAGCATCGTTATGCATTGCAAGAAACACTTAAATATTTAACATCTATTTACTTTGGACTCAAAGGATAACATTTAAAATGCTTTGTCCCATCATTGCCAAGTCTACTCCTTGCAAGTAAACTTTTCATTTGATCACCTTTCTGTTTATAACTAATAAATTATATATATTTATTTATAAAATTTATGCCTATGTGTTTTTATGTTGTAGGTGTATCATTGTCATTAATGTATATGCCACAGTATGTTTCATTATCAGCAATCACAGATTCAAGCTCAATGCAACGTCCAGATCTATTAATGGCATATTTTATGCGTGAAATAAATGATTTTGCCATTCATTTAAAAATCCGGACAGAGAGACGACACTCACCTGTAAGTGAAATTCATTCAAGGAGAAATCATCTGTATCATGATAATTTATAAAAATTATTATTTCAAAAAAATAAAAATAGTCATTATTAATATAGTTGTCATCCTTAGTTATTATTATAAGTGTATTCATCAATTTTTTTAGATAAGAAATATGGAAGACAATAACCCATATACTATTGTATGTTTAAATTAATTTTGACTAAATATAACAAATACAAAAATTGTTATTAGTGTGACTCCCTCAAAAGAACAATTTTTATTAAAATCTATGTTTGAATTATGGCTTGAAATACAATCTAGTGAACTAGGAACATTAACACACACTGTAACCAGATTAACATATAGAATCAACAATAATGTACAGAATTATTACTAAAAATTAAATACTCCTATTATATGAATCTTTTATATATTTTATTAATATATTTGATTAGAAGTTCTAATAAATTCTACATTTATTATTAAAAAATTATAAATTAGTATCACATTTTATGATAAAAAAAAATCTGCAAAATTAAATGTGCATATCTGTTTTTTACTGTTTCCATCCTGTGGACACTAAAAGGAATTTTTAATCATACTGTCATAAGTTCAGGCCAGGCCCAAAATGGGAGTGGCAGAATATTAAGAAATAGGACCCCAGAATACTGTTCCATGAAAAATTCCCAGGAGTTATTGACATCTCTGATTCAATTCCTGTCCCTTCAGAATAGTAAGCAGATGTTGTTTTTAATGATTTTAATAGTATATAGTAGCCTACAATAGATTATTAAAAATTACTAAAAGTCAGCTGAAATATTTTAATTAAATAGTAGTAACTGATCTAATCTAGTTAAAATTACTGAATATATTTATAAGCAACAGAATCTAATATTCAATTAAGCTGACATTGTTTATGGAGTAAGTTAATCCAATAAATAAATTAGGCTATTAGATGATTAAAAAATTTTAAAACTGTTTATGTAACATGTAAACATTTAGGTTAGAAATATAAAATTGATAATTAGTCTAAATGAATAAAATCATGTTTATTCTGTTGATTTGGCTCATTATTTCTTATATAATTTATCAGCATTTAATGACAAAAAAAAAAAATTATATATATATATATCTAAAAATGTATTAATGTGATTAAATATTTTTCAACACTGCCAACACTTGTAGTTTTTGACAATTTATCATCAAGCTATTAATTTTGTTATTATTAGATTACTTATATATAATATATATAAATAATCTATTTACAATTTAAGTAGATTGTAGACATTCATTGACATTTTGTGAATATTGAGTGTATATGTAATATAATCTGTACTCATAGAATGCTGATTTATGTTTATAATCTGATTGCAGTAATTGTATCATATATTTTAAAATTATTTTATACCAATTTTTAAATAACTGGTATCATTCCAAATCATACTATTTTTCTACTCATCACATTGATTCTGATAGAATAAAAAGTTACAAAAGATTACAGATCATTCATGAAAATTTTTTACAGATTACAAAAGATTACAATCTTTTCTTTTTTCCATTTTTTTCTCTTTCTACTCTGTGGATATTAAGAGGGCATGGTAAAAATGGATAGATAGATGGTGAAAGACAGAGCTTAACATCTGGGACAGACTATGTATGAAAAATTCCTAGGATTCTTCAGCTACCCAAATTCAATCCTGCATCTTCAAGAATAGTAGAATGACACCCTACCTTGGCTATCTGGCCAGCAAATAAAAATAATTTAATAAAAGTATTTCCATTCCCATCTAAAATCTTGTTATAACAGAAATTAAACATTATCATCATATTCAATATTTAAAAATCTAAGAAAAAAACATGCATTTTACAATTTATGATAAGATTTATATAATTGTATTAAAACTGATTTTCTAGTGCTTTTTTTGTTCAAGTAATGTTAAAAAAATTTTTTTTTTAAATATCAAAATGAAAAATGCCTAGAAACAATAACCTTAAAATACTATATTTATCTAACATAGCAACTGCCTATTTTGCTGTATAATCTGAAAATTTTTACTCCATTTACAACTAAAATTTTGCTTTCATTTATAAATTGTTTCTTAATTGAAAATAAAATAATTAAACTTAATTTAATTACATTTTTAGCTAATTTCAGTTAAATAAGAAAAATTTTTGGACTTAAAAACGTTTAATTCTAACTATAATACATCTTAATTAAACTAGATATAGAGTAATTACATACAATCATAAATCATGTGCTGTAACTGCTTTTCGGCTATTCTTTATTTCAGAATGCATCCTTTTCTGTCGCAAACGTTCTCTTGCCTGTCTTTCTTTCCTACAAAATAAAAAACTTAATGTAATTTTGAAAAATATTTATTAAAAATTTCAATTTATGATAAAAAGTATGCTTTATCAAAATTATTTCTGATGCTGTATTGTTTTCATGAAAACAGAATAAAACAGCACAATTCTCAAAAATAGATATTATTTTCAATTTTTAAAAAGGAATAACCTAACCAACTATGAATTAAACAAAATTAAAAATTATGTTTTAAAGGAGCATTCAAGCATTATCAAAAAATCTAAATTTATCTTTAAGAATAAAGCTGAAAACGTTGAAACAGATGTGGTTACTGGCAAATGCTTATTCTCTCTATATTTTCAATTATAGTCTTTTTACTGTCTTATTAGTAAAATTCTTATTATCCATTACATATGATTTCTAAATCAGTCTTGGTTTATTATGGTGATTTGTTGTGTGCATTATTTTCTAATTATATTATAAATTTAACAGTTTTATTAAATTTGCAGATTTAAATCTAATGATATCTGGTATTGTTTCAAATATTGATATCTGTTTAATGATTATATCATGTTAATATGTAATAGTACATCACTTAGTATTGAAATTACAAAATGAAGCAATAATAAAAATCATTCTTACTAAATATAATATATAATTTAAATGGATTTAAGCAGTATATTGAAAACAATTAGCATAAATAAATTTCTAAAGCTTAGCACAAAGAAGTTGATGTGGTTGCTTCGACAAATAGACAGAGATTGATTTTTATGTCCATGGAGTGATGATTGACTGTGCACGATTGTTGCTAGTTATTGAATATAATTTTCATTGAACAGATCACTTATATTTTGTTAAAAAATCTGAATTGAGTTCATTGCTTAATTATGAGCAAACTTGCTTTGACATCAAAGAGATCAGTTTGTTTTAATATTGACTCATTTGTGCTGGGCTAAAGAGAATAATTTAAAATAACAAATCAATACACACCTAGCTTTTAACATCATACTTGTTTCTGGTAAAACTTCTGGTGGTGGCTTGCATGCTTCCCTCACTATACAACGTAATTTATCTAAACAGTCTGCTAGATTTATGCTTTGAGTTCTTGTTTTATCAGATTTAATTATTAAATATCCATCTTTTGTTAACTGATTTTTATGCTGTAAATAATTCAAGACAATTATATTTAAAATATTATTTAAAAAAAAAATAATGTCAGCACAACAAAATAAAAAAATTAGAAACTTTTTTATTCATTATAAACTATTTTGAGTGATTAAATATACCATTTCTTCCATTCTCTTTCGTCCTTTCTCGGGTATCCATTGAGCAGAAGATAAATGAAATCTTACTTCTACTTTACTATTCACTGAAATATACAATATATATTTTTAAAATGTAATTTAAATATTTTAAAAAGGTTTATTCTTCAATGTTTTTTGTTATATATGTTTGATCACAGCAGCAACTTCCACTACCATGGAAAAGATATAGTGTTATAGCAAAAGATTATATTAATATCAACAATTACAACTAAACACATACATGGTATATATTCTTATGTGAAGACTGATTATTTATCAGTTGAATCAAGAAACATTTAGAAACTTGTCATTCAGATAACTGGATATGCCAAAAGAAGAAATGGATGGATAGGTGTTCTGATGGAGAGTTCTGACAAAGAATATGCATGGTGTGAAGGTCTTGGAATAACTACCAAAAAGAACTATCCAAGAAGAAAATTTGAAGACATTGGACTGCTGCCAGACGTGAACACCACGCATCTAACTCCTGGTTATATACAATAATTTTAAAGTATCTAATTTATCTGATCATAAGTTTCTCTCTCTCTTTCTCTGCAAGTCAGTAACATAGCAGCAGTATTGTATAAATACAAATCACAATAAATAAACTTTTTTCAGTAGCAGCTGAATGTAGTCACTCTTTGTAGTCCATGACGTGTCACACCTCTGAACAAGGCACCTATGCAATGGAGATTTAAGTGAACCGAATTGGTCATCACTTGGACCAAGGTCACACCAAATCATTAAAAGGCAAACAAAAGTTAAAGGAGTCTCACAAATTTTATAGAAGCTATTAAAAATAATAATTCTTGATAAATAACATAATATATTTAAATTTATTTTTTATGTATAATATTTTTTTCAAGTTATTATTTTAATATTTAATTAAGTATTCAATTTTTCAAAATTTTATATATTTTTATTTCAAAAATTCATACATTGAATAAATCAATTTATAAAAAGTTTTATTTCCAAATTGATTTAATTTTTATAATCAGTTAAAAATCAAATCAAATAACTTATTTTTAGAAATTAAAGTTTAGTTAATAATATTAAAAAAACTCTCTCTTAATATGTTACATTCCCTTCATGGACTATAAATTTATCTGATGTAATAAATGACTGCAATATTTTGAGTTCTTGTCTAATTTTTAAAATCTCCACTAATTTTTCCTAAATTTTTTTTTACAGAAATATTACAATAAGCACATAATAATTCTTTTTTCTCTGTTACATCATAATATTTTAACAATCATAATTAATATAAAAAAATTAAAAGTCACATCTGCTTATAAGTTAAGCTTTATCTTAAAAAATTGAATGTTACAACTTCATTGTTAAATTACTTGTTGAAATGGATACAATTAAATAAATATATTGTATTAAAAACTAAGAAATAATTAAACAATGCAATTAAAGCCTTTGATCTTAGATGCTTGAAATCCTCTTTGATCAAAAATCAAAGAGGATTACAAGCAAATACATATACAAATACAAAGTCCTCATTTAGGAAGTGCCATAAATGAAAATGTCAACTGCTCCTGCAGGAGCTGCAGATTACTCATGTTGGACAATGATGAGTGATTCTGACTTTACAAACTGCAGAACACAAACACCTCTATTGCATAGATGCCATTTTTGTTTACAGCACTTCCTAGAGATAGTAGACAACAAGACATTTGAATGCAGATGGGAGATGAAACTCAAACAATTACTCTATTAATTGAATATACATTGCATTGCATACTTCTCAGATAATAATTAACATAATTACAGTAATTTAAAATTGTAGTATTCCTTTTGCAAAACCCTGTATTTTAAATAATTTTTTGTCATTTTTGATATATATATACTTTTATTAAATTAAATGAGTATTACATATTAATTTTACATACTAATCATGTCTCAAAACAAAATTATAGATATCCTTTTGTTTTTGACCGAAAATAAACAAAACTAGTATGGATTATCATAGGTTTGGATTAGCAAAAGTGAAATGTTGAAATACTACATAAAGTTTCATCTAATAAACCTTAAATAAGATATTAGGCAAAATAATATTTTTGAGCTCAATGTTACGAGTTAAGAAAGCTTTATTTCAAAATTAACTTCTTCACATTAACTGGATCAATAACTATAATTAAATACACCAATCAAAACTTTAATAATTCCAGTAAATAATTTAATGTAAATTCAACAGATGTTTTGATCTTACACAAGATCTGCTTCAGGTCAACAACATTCTAAATTGGAATGTGCAGAACTAATTTCAATTTCAAAAATGTTTCTTTTTTTTTTTTTTTTTTTGGAGTAAAATATAAAGATATTGAATATAAAATTGAATAAATAAAGATTAGTTTGCCTATTACCATGTATAAAATTAAAGCAAATACAAATAAAGAAATAATTATACATAAATATACCACAAAAATAATAACTAATTTATGTTGGTATTGCCTGGTTTTTCATAAAAATATTGCCAAGCATATGAGATATTTTTTCTATCTTTAAAGTTAATGCAATTGTCTGTCAGGTAGCTTTGTACATTTCTAAAGCTTCTAGAGCCCCCGATGTGGTCAGTTTGCTAGGACTGTTTGATTAACATGGAATTTTGAAGATCAGCTTGCATGTCAGTCTTTCTAATGTAATAAACAGGAAAGTGGTATCTTTTTTTGTTTATAATATTGTAATGATATTCTTGTAACCTTTTGCGTATGGAGTGCTTAGTGTACCCAATGTACACCAGATCTTTTTGGAATCTGCTGTCCCTTACCAGAACCTTGTATACCATTTGAGCCTTATCTTTTCTGTTGTGTAGCAAATTATATAGCATGGAAACGCACTTGTATGCTAACTTAGTAGCAGTATTGTCAGCTATTTCCTTGGAAATGTATGTAAATCATAGTCATACTCCACCAGAGTGCATCTGAGGTTAGGGTTGTGTTTGTTGTTGGAGTCTCTTAGGTTATTGGGGTTGGTACACAGAGATCACAATACAAACATGGAAGACAATTTAAAAAAGCTAAAACATATAGAAGACATAACTATAATATGTGGGTATAGAAGAAACCTGATTTGTAGTTTGGCTTGTACCTACTCCAACTGACACTTCCCATGTACGAATCAAATTTCACAAAATGTGGACCAAATATTTAAACTTACTGCACTCAAAACCCCTAAAGACATTTTAATTAGACTTCATATTAAATAATTTTCCTATTTGAATACTCCATCTCACTTGTCATATAGAAAGGGAAATCTGTTGTGGATAGTGGTTGAAGTTGATTTACCTGAAGGTAGTTGTTGATCTCCATCTAGATGAGATAATACCTTGCAATAAAAAGTTTCAATGTATTTGTTCAAATTGTGTCAAAATTCATAAAGAGCAAATTAATTAACTTTCTTTTTTATATAATAGATTTGCTGAGTTATTTAAAAATATTTGTAGCAATGAATACATTAAACAAAAATATTAAAAATTACAAAAAGTATTTTTGTGTGTGACCTCATGCATACTCTTTTGCTTTAACAATGGAGTAATAATAAATACAACAATTTTTTTTTATATTTTATGAAAGCAAAAAGTTTGATAAACTTTTAAAAGTTAAATAAATTTTTCATTTAAATAAAAATACATTTTAAATATTCTATACTCTTAAGGGTTATAAAGTGTTTAAACTGGTAAAGATTAAAAACAAATTATTTATTTACTTTTAAAAAAATTATTTCCATTTATATATCCAGCTAATTAAAAAAAAATTAAATGTTTATTTAGAGAGAAGATACATTTAATTTGATTCCCAGTTAATCAAATAATAAGCCAAATTTATTATTTAATTAATTCACTTAACTGCCTATCTACAGTTCAAATTATACAGCATTTGTTTATCCAACATATAGCTCAATAATAAATCTGGCTTGTTATTTGATTAGTTATATAATTTAGGCTTAGTTTCTTATTTGACATCTAACATTTGTAGTATTTACATCAAAATGAAATTAGTTGAACTTTAAATCATAAAAATTTAAATTAAGAAAAAACATGAAATTTTTTACCTTTATTGACATTTTGTCCTCCAGGTCCACTGCTTCTACTATGTGTTATTTGTATATCTTCTGAAATTAATCATTTTAATACATAAATTTGTATAAATTATTGTTATTATTTTCAAACTCAATTAATTACTCAAATGATAAATAATAGTTTTAAATGAGATTTATACTTTTCACTTTCAGATTGGAAATCTTAATCAATCAAATTAATATATCAATAAAAATATTTACTTCATTTACTAACATATAGTAATTAATATGTTTTATTCTGTTATATCATATGCCCAACTGAAGAGAAACAAACAACTATTATTACAACTGTTAATTTTTGAAATTAAAATATCCATTGCTTCAATTATAACTTTCATCAATTAAAACACAAGAAATGAGACATAACTAGTTTAACATTTTTAATTTATCAATTTTACTTAGGAAAAATATTTATGAAAACTAATCTTAACCTCATTACAGCTAAAATTAAACAATAACACATTACACATTAATATGCTCCAGTAAGAAGGATGGTTAAAATTCAATATTAAAGTATCTTTAGTACGCTAAAATTTAATTCTATAAAAGGAGTAATCATTCACACTGGAAGTGTGCAATTGAGCCACAAGTGTAATCAATGTAAGAAAAACACATAATAGAAAACAAATATGCCAAGATAACAAAGAACAAGTCTCTCAAATGATCTAGAAATAAAAGAAAATAAGAACAAAATTTTTCCATAGTGTATATATATGTATATATATGATAATATCTATAACCTTATTTACTGTTTTACAGACTTATATTCAAGTTAGTGTAAAAATCAAACCTTTCTAGCTATCTGAAAACATTCTACTGACAGGTGTCTATAAAATGAAATTACTGTAGTAAATTTTCATCAAAATGATACTACAAATGATGAGTGATTTTGATAATAAGTTTCCATTGTAATAGTTTAATATAAGTAATTCTAAGTTTAAAAGCCAATGTACTATACCTAAATAAAAAAATTAAGACAAGACCAAATGATTTGATCAATTACCTTAATCTTGATGCCAGTGAACATCAGTCTTAACTTATACTTAAAATATTCTCATTTTTCAAAAACTTTCCTAAAACATAATTTTTGCTTTTTTTTTGATAATTTGACTGAACTCGGGTACATATTTGGAAAAAAACGACAAATATATTCACATCCTTTGGTATTAATTTTAAGAATTTAAACTGGTTGTTTTATAAATGCAATGTAGCATAATAACGATCACTTGGCACTATTAATTCTTTTATTTCAATATTCACTGTGTGAATAATTTGTTGAGTAAGTAAAGAGTGAATGAGTGATTAATAAAATTATTATTATTATTATATAAAATAACCATATAGTTATTATGCATGAATTTATGTCATGGATTGCACAATCCAACTAAGTATGACAGCCAGATGGCTGAGATAATAACAGCATCAGTCTGGTGCTCTGAGAAACAAGTATAATTCTAGGCCTAGAACATCAGATATGATTCATAGTTTATCCCTAATATGTTGAGTCCTATTCCTCACAATTCAGCCATCCCATTGTGGGCCTGGCCAAATTGAAAAAAGACCTCTCAGTACCCACAGAGTGGAAAGAATAAACTACAGAAATTCAATTCAGTGAATAGTGGATTTGATACTAAATCCTCCCAACCCAAAGTTCAGACTGAACAACACTTAGGTCTGTTCAGAAATACTTATAAGTTTAATCACTGAGACTCAAAAGTTTAAACCTATAAAGTTTCCAGTCATTTACAGGTTGCTTCCAGACACTCAATCTTAAAGGGTGGGTTAGAGAATGACCAACCAAAATACCATCATCATCATTTATTAGTACCATCAACTGTTCAGTAAGCATTTTCGAACAGACCCTTAATCAATAATTCATTATAGGACACTGTAAAGAAAAACTTTATTACCTTCACCTTACAACAGTAACCTAAAAATAGCTGACAAGAACTGATTTAATGACTTTAACTGTTTAACTGTATGACTAAACAGTAATAGTTTATGTTCGTAAAATATAAAAAAGTGTTTTTAGTAATATTCAGGTAGTCTATCAATTATTGGGTCCTTTTAAAATTGTCGAATCTTTGTAACCATTCTGTAGATAAGCTCCATAAGTTGTATTGTATATCTTTTCATAAATATTTAAAATAATTCTTACCTAGTGGAATATAACCAGAAAATTTTTCTCCTTCATTTTTTGGAATCTAAAATAATATTAAATTCATTTAAAACTGAAGTTTATGATCAAAAACATGACAAAAAACTTAATATTTACCTCCTGTGCTGTGCTAATATTTAAATTACTATTTGGATATATTTTATCCAAACTATAATTACTTTTGAAACTAGAAAACCTTCTAAAATCAACTGATTTCCTTAAATTTGCATTGAAAACAAATCTTCCAAACATGCTCGCCATTACAAAAATACATTACAGTGTTGCCAGAATTAAATTAAATATTCATGAATAAAATATTTATAATAATTAAAATTAAATTCGGAAATATTTAAATATTATTTTTATTCGTATTTATTAAAATAATAAAAATATTTATAATTATATTTATTTAATTATCAAAATCTTTAGTAACAATAAATTAATAATACATCATTGTTAATATATTTATAAATAAACACAAAAATGGATGCTGTAAATAAAGAATCTAATTATTCGGACGAAAATAATTTGTTTTTGAAAGATAGTCGGGGTTTATGGATGCCGGATAAAGTTAAATCACATCTATTACTCCGACACGGATATATAACTGAGAAAATTCTCTATCGTGAGGATCGCTGCGTAATTAAGAAAGCCAAGAAAATTGATAATGATGATATTCAATTTGTTGTGAAAATTGTTAAAAAAAATAAGGTCGATCCAATAATTACTTTAAATGAAATTAGGTGCTTGCAAAGAATTCGACATCATTTAGTGGTATGCAAAAAATATTATTTTTTTTAAACTTTTATTTTAGAATATATTCACGGAGAAAATGTTGAGGAAAAGGGATGAATATCTCTCTTTGTTTAACATTTTTTGGGATATATGATGAAAAATATTCATTTTCTTATACTAAAATTATTAGATTCCTTGGAGATTAGTTGTCTTAGTTAATATTCCTATCGGCAAAGAANGTTTTTGAAAGATAGTCGGGGTTTATGGATGCCGGATAAAGTTAAATCACATCTATTACTCCGACACGGATATATAACTGAGAAAATTCTCTATCGTGAGGATCGCTGCGTAATTAAGAAAGCCAAGAAAATTGATAATGATGATATTCAATTTGTTGTGAAAATTGTTAAAAAAAATAAGGTCGATCCAATAATTACTTTAAATGAAATTAGGTGCTTGCAAAGAATTCGACATCATTTAGTGGTATGCAAAAAATATTATTTTTTTTAAACTTTTATTTTAGAATATATTCACGGAGAAAATGTTGAGGAAAAGGGATGAATATCTCTCTTTGTTTAACATTTTTTGGGATATATGATGAAAAATATTCATTTTCTTATACTAAAATTATTAGATTCCTTGGAGATTAGTTGTCTTAGTTAATATTCCTATCGGCAAAGAATAATAAAAAGAATATTCTGTTTAGGTTTAATTGTTTATGTATTCAGAATAAAATATTTTCGATCTTAAATTGTAGATTTTCGTTTTACTAAATTAACAGAATAGAAGAATTTGAATGCTTCTCTTACATCATTGGTTCACCCAGGGGGTGGGCCAAGGAGTCCTGGCACCCGCCAAAGTAAAAGGAAAAAACACTAGTAAATTTTTCAAAAATACTTTCCTAATTAAAACTTATTTTTTTGTTTATATTGTGTGGTGTGTTCTATTTCTATATTACTTGTGAATTAGCGGACGCATAAAGTGGGAATTTTATTGAATTTGAATTAAAAACTTTTTAATACATTCAACTCGGCTCCCCCAAGATTAAATCGTGAGTGCGCCACTGCTTATAATAATATTTTTTTTTAAACAAAAAAAGGAAAACTTTGCACTAGTCGTATTTTGTAGCCTACGGCTTCGGAGACCGGGATGAAAATTTTTCGGAGTGATCTGTCCTGAATTTGTTGAGTCTCGTCCCTCGAGGCTGTTCTCATTAAGGGCCTAGACACGATGGACATGGGAAAAAAGCCCTCTTAGTGCCTAGTGACGTTAAGTTTTCAGCGCGGAATTTAGAGAAGGTTGTTAAGTGCTGTGAGGAAGTTGTAGTTATATTTAGTGAAAGTTATAAGCGGTGAATAAAGTATAAAATTTAACAATTTTAAATTTATCTCATTATACAGTAAGCAGCAAGATAAGATATCACCATAACATGAAAGATTTGAATTTAAATTAGGCCTGTATCCGCAGAACTTATTATAAATAACTTGCGTCTTTTTTACATTTTAAACTATTTTACCTTGTGATCACTAAAAGATCTTTTTATAATCGTACCCATCATAGGTTCCACCAGGCCCACAACAAGGCCGAGAAGTGAGGGACGAAGCCCGATATCCCGGATCTTACGTTTCGTAACGCCCATTAAAATTTGCTCTAGAGTCGATCCCGGGTTCTCCAGAGTTATTATAGGCTGACGCCTGAACTACTCCAACCACCCGGACATCAAAGAAGCCTAACTATTCAACTAATCTTTCCGAAAATTTTTATTTAATTTTTATTTTCAATTTCAGGTGAGTTTTATAGATGCCATTGAAACAGACGACGCATTTTACTTGATACTCGAAAGAGCCGAAAATGGGAATCTTCTCAATTACGTCAACAAACAGAAACATCTTTCAGAAGTTGAAGGCCGAAGACTTTTTGTACAATTGTTAAATGCTATAGAAATTTGTCACAAGTATAAAATTTGTCATAGAGATATTAAATTAGAGAATATTTTATTGGATAAAGAACTAAATTTAAAACTGACAGGTATGCATTTAATTATTGCATCATCAAAATTTTATTTAAAATGATGAGTGAATATAAATGTTTGATTACACGGCAGATTTCGATTTAGCTGCTTCCGATTGTAATCTTAAGAAACTGAATGCTCCTTATGGAAGCTATGGATATGTCGCTCCAGAAATATTGTTGGAACCTAAGTATAATGGGTATAAAGTAGATGTATGGAGTGCAGGTAGTTTTTCTTGTTTTTTACTTTCTTCCTTGTGGGCACTATGCTAAATTACTCACCAGGCATGTGAGGCAAATGCCTTGGTGCCCGGGTCTCTGGGCCCCGAAATTGGTAAAAAAAAAATATAAAACAATTTTACCGTTGCAATTTTATATCAATTTATAAATAATTCTGCAGCTACAACTATTGACAAATCTTATTGGTTAATGATTTAATGATGTCATAAAATTACTTAAAGGGGTCTCGAAAGGTCTTAATCCGTTATTGATCCAGTGGGTTTTTTTCATGTTCATCATGTGTTTGGCCACGTCCATAATGGAGCAGTCTGCTGGAAAGAAACGAAGCTTGATATATGCATGTTCTCTTATTTAAGTGCAAAAACGTCTGACGATTCGGTTCAAACTCGGACTCTTGTTCCCTAGAGCGGCAAGCTGATACAATTTTTTTGCTTATAAAAATGCAAAAAAAAAAAAAAATATGGTTAAACGGTTTACATTAATAATTTTTTCAAATTTGTACGAAATTTGCGAATTAAGCTTGAAGAAAAGAATTTGAAGTTTTCATCTTCAAACATAAGTCCTATTGAAAATAATTTATAATATACGTTTGTTTGTTTTGTGGTAACGCAACACTTGGGCGATCTGCCTAGGAGGATGCCTTTCGGGAGGTCTTTTTAAGGGAAACTGGCCCCTATTTAGGCATTACAAACGAGGAGAAGGCCCGAAGAACTACATGTGGCCAGCCCGTCCAAGCGGGGCGCGAACCCACGACTGAAATCCTGGTGCTTAGGGTACGAAGATCGCTTGGCCACTGGTGGGCCTATAATATACATACAAGCACTCATATACAAAGCACACTAAAGATTTAATCTTGGAAGAGCCGAGTTGAATGAATAAATGATTTTTAATGTGAATTCAATAAAATTCCACCTTATGTGACCGCTAATTCATAATTAATATAGAAATAGAACACACAACCCAATATAAATAAATAAATAAATTTTAATTAAGAAAATAGTTTTGGAAAATTTACTGGTGTTTCTTTTCATTTTACTTTCGGGGGTACCAGGGCCATTTGGCCCATGCTCTGGGTGTCACTGCATACAAGAATACTTAATTATAAAAAAATTTCAATAAGTTTTTATCAAATTATCGAATGAAATTTAATTAACATGTACCAGTACCTGTATTCAAAAGCTTCATTCAGTTAAACTATTTTTAATACTGTATTTCACATTACATTAATTGTAATGTGAAATATTAAAAATATTTTAACTGAATGAAGCTTAACAATTAATGTTGTCGACTTGAAGACTTTTTAATGTCTTCAAGATAATTCGCTTTTTTTAGAGTTTTAATTTAAAAATATTCAGCTATAATGTCTGATTTAACATTATTTATTGATATAAAACGATACTATTTATAGGTATATGTCTTTATGCAATGTTATGTGGAAGACTTCCTTTCATCCATATGCAACAGAGAGATATATATCTGGAGGCAATTAACAAGATAACTTTTAGGATACAAATTAGTAATGGTTGGTTGAATAATTATTGTATAGCATTGTGTTATTGTATAGCATTTTCTGTGAATTTGTTTTTGTAATTGTGTTAATTGTTTTTGTATATATTCAGAAAGTCGTGATTTAATCTATCACATGCTCAATCCCGACCCAAATTTGAGACCGTCATTGCGATCTGTGCGCCTTTGGAAATGGATAAGGGAACCAACAAAACTAGTCAATACATCGAAGTTATTCGTAAAATCTAACTCGAACAAAAGTTAATATATATTAATTTTGAAAAATAAATAATGTAAGTTGTTATAAACAAGTTTTAAATTTCAGTTTTGAAATTTGATTATCGACCGGAACACGAATTAACTTTAAATCAAAACTCTGCTTCTCATTTAACTTTCAACAAAGTTTCGAGATTCGTAAAGAAGAGCAAAGAAATAATTGCAAAATCTGAAAAGTAATTATTTTGAAATATTTTATGCGTCTATGTAAATAGCTTACAAATGTATACTTATTAGGGGCATGGAAAGATAGGACAAAGGGAGCACGTCCGAGATGATGGGACGCCAAAATTCTAAAATATATTCATAAAAAACTCGCATTTGAGAATGAAAAATTATATGATCATGTACTGGTATACTGTACATTTTTCTATGAACTGTTTTTTAAAAATTTTTCAAAAATGCATTGTTAATGTGCTACAAATACACCTTGCGCGCCATCCTTCAAACCGTTTTATTCGAACTATTATCGCAAGCG